CGAAAGCTTACTGCACATTTACATGACCCCACCAACCATCTCCCAAAAGCTGGTTAGGCTACTGAGTAAAATGTAGAAAGAGTTCAGGGAAGACGGGGCTTTTTGGACAAAAAACATCATTTTTCAACCCCCATTTGACCCCCTGGGGCAAAATCAAAATTCCGAAAGCTTACTGCACATCTACATGACCCCACCAACCATCTCCCAAAAGCTGGTTAGGCTACTGAGTAAAATGTAAGAGGAGTTCAGGGAAGACGGAGCTTTTTGCTTAAAAAACGTCATTTTTCGACCCCCATTTGACCCCCTGGGGCAAAATCAAAATTCCGAAAGCTTACTGCACATCTACATGACCCCACCAACCATCTCCCAAAAGCTGGTTAGGCTACTGAGTAAAATGTAGAAAGAGTTCAGGGAAGACGGGGCTTTTTGGACAAAAAACGTCATTTTTCGACCCCCATTTGACCCCCTGGGGCAAAATCAAAATTCCGAAAGCTTACTGCACATCTACATGACCCCACCAACCATCTCCCAAAAGCTGGTTAGGCTACTGAGTAAAATGTAAGAGGAGTTCAGGGAAGACGGAGCTTTTTGCTTAAAAAACGTCATTTTTCGACCCCCATTTGACCCCCTGGGGCAAAATCAAAATTCCGAAAGCTTACTGCACATCTACATGACCCCACCAACCATCTCCCAAAAGCTGGTTAGGCTACTGAGTAAAATGTAGAAGGAGTTCAGGGAAGACGGGGCTTTTTGGACAAAAAACGTCATTTTTCGACCCCCATTTGACCCCCTGGGGCAAAATCAAAATTCCAAAACCTTACTGCACATCTACATGACCCCACAAACCATCTCCCAAAAGATGATTAAGCTACTGTGTAAAATGTAGGAGGAGTTCAGGGAAGAAAAGTGTGACAGACGGACGGACGGACGGACGGACGGACATGAGTAACAACAATATACCCGAACTTTCTTTAGAAAGTGCGGGTATAAATAGCAAAACCTGGAAAATATAAAATGGTTCTCTGCAGCTCAGTGGTTTGAAAAAAAAAATCTATCGGGATTGATGGGAGTATCCCGCACCTCAGATCTCCACATTTTTTCCATATTCAAAATAAGGAGAAAATGCGGACGGGAGTATTTGGACTAATTTTCCGCATTCATTCCAGATTTTCTCCGTATTCAAATTTCCGGATTTTCTCCGTATTCAAAATATGGAGAAAATGTGGATGGGAGTATTGGGACTCTTTTTCCGTATTTTCTCCAGATTTCCGCATTTCCATATATACAAAATATGGAGGTATTTACTTGGTTGATAAAATGCGGAAATACGGAAATCTGGAGAAAATACAGAGTTAATCACATGGTTATAAAATGGCTTAAAACCGCTACATGATGCATACATACATAAATATTTACAAAACCATCAACAATGTGCAAAATTATATACAATTTATTATATCATTACGAGAAAAAAACATATAAATGAATGAACAAAATTACACATTATGTTCATGAGCAATGTATGGGATCTTATATTTTTGACAAACAAATAGGAGCATGTATGGAAAAAAACTGGAACTCTTATTTAAGCTACAAGTTCATCATGGAAAAAATGTGGCATATTTTACTATTCATATTAAATAAATGGAAATCTATTCGTTGTATTTATGCAAAAGTGGGAGTGAAATGTTCAACACTATTAGATATTGGGGAAAAAATAACAACTGACATAGGCTAAGCATTGAATATTTACAAAACAAGAAAAAATTTTAGACATTTTTTATCAATCTGGATCACATTTGCCATTTTCTACCTGCACCCCTGATTCATATTTCTCACAATTCAATTTATATCTCAGGTCTGTGCTTTACACCCATCTGTCCAATAAAAATTTTCTTCAGACTTCTTTCTAATTTGTACACTGTTGTAAGGTCACTGCATGTTTAATTTCTTGCAGCAGCACTTGCAGTCGAATTGGCAAATCCTATCAGTTAAAAAAAAAGTATTGAAAAAGGAATAAAAGCAATTAATTTAAATTTTATTAATATTGCACCATTATAATTTAAGTAACTTAAATTATAATGGTGCAATATTAATAAAATTTAAATTCATTGCTTTTATTCCTTTTTCAATTTTATATCAATTTGTTTAAAATAATATTTATAATAATGAAAATCATAGTTGACTGTTTTTATATAAACAAGCAATAAAAAAAGAAAAAAAAAGAATATATATACCTCAAACATAACCATCCATGGACCAAGCTTTAAGCCTTTTAAAATCGAAGTAAGTTGAATAACCACTTTCAGAAATCTCCTCCTCATGCACAGACACTACCAAAATAAAAGTATGGTATAAAATCATTGCTAGAGATTACAGCCCATGGCTCTCCAAAATTAACACCTTTAATTGTGGTTAACCATAATAAAATTCTATGAGCTGATTGAAAGATTTGAATCATGGGCATATTGGCTGAAACGTACGTAGCCTGTTAGCTTAGTCCTAGGCCTAGAGTATTTATTTTCATCATCACAGTGACACACATGTTAAAAAAAATATGACTGACCTACTGCATATGAAATACGTGTATCTGCATCTTTTGGTTGATACAGCAATACGATCTCAGGCTGTCTGGTAAACAAACTTCCTCCTTTAGACAGAGCAGACGTTGCAACATGGAGGCCAAGGTTAAATTTTGGCGGTCTGTTGTTTAAATTAATTGATCACTGAGCCCGACTTTTTGAAACTTTCTTCCGATCCCGATCAAATTGTACATAACATTCAGGAGAAACAGAGAACTGCTGTTAACCCCAAGACAGTTTTTATGCACCCAAATTTTTTCGGGGCGCATATTGTTTTTGTCCTGTCTGTCTGTTTAGCTGTATGTCTGTCTGTTTGTCTGTCTGTTGTCAACTTTAACCTTCTCCATAACTTTTGAACCGTGAGACTTAGAGACTTCATATTTAGTATGGATACTCCACTACAAAAACGCTTTCAACAGACACCAAGGTCAATGACCTTGTGACCTTGAATGTGACCTTTATGCTAAAAATAGCTTTTTCAAACTTTCGCCATAACTTCTGAACCGTGAGAGATAGAGACTTCATATTTGGTATGCATACTCCACTAATTAGGCACTTTCAACTGACACCAAGGTCAATGACCTTGTGACCATGACTGTGACCTTTATGCTAAAAATAGATTTTCGACCTTTCGCTATAACTTTTGAAACATGAAAGTCAGAAACTTCATATTTGGTATGCATACTCCACTAATTAGGCACCTTCAACTGACACCACGGTCAATGACCTTGTTACCTTGACTGTGACCTATGTGCTAAATATAGCTTTTTGAACTTTCGCCATAACTTTTGAACCATAGATAATAGAGACTTAATATTTGGTATGCATACTACACTAATAAAGTGCTTTCAAATGACACCAAGAACAATGATTGTGTGACCTTGACTGAGACCCATTTGCTAAAAATTGCTTTTAAGAACTTAATGTTGCCGCCAGGTGCTACTGTGTTTCACAAACACATTTTGTTCTTGATGAAAAAATTCTAAGTCCAGAGCTCCGTATTTTTTCCAGATGAAAAATATTCTAAGTTAAGAGTTCAATATCTTTCCAGATGAAAAATAGACTAAGTCCAATTCTCCGTATTATTTCCGTTTATTTTCCGGATTATTTCCGTATATTTTCTGCTTTTCCGCATTGTTAATTCTTTCCGTATTTTTTTCCACATTTTTTCCATATTAAAATGAGGAAAAAATGCGGAATAATGCGGAAATCTGGAGATCTGAGGTGCGGGATGGTATCAGATTTACCGCCTATTATTTATTAACTATAGTGGTATGCCTTGTACAGTTTTACTTAGCGAGAAATAATACAAGTCTGTTTTGTTTCTTTGTCAAAGGTTTGCCGTTTGATTTTTTAGACACTTCGGCAATAAATGCATTATTTAATCATTATTATACCATATCAAAGACACAGCACTGCGTACAGTAGGGGAAACATATTTTTAATTAAGAAAATTGAGTCTAAACATTTATTAAAAAACAATATAAGAAATTGTAGTGTCGGTTTCATTTATCAGCGTTTATATTCATGATAGTATCGCAATTTAATTTTTCTTTTTTTTTCCCCTCTCGATCTTGTCTTCATCATCAAGGCGCCTCGACTCTGTTGCTTTTTCAGACAATATTAACTCTTTCTGGAAAATCGTCACGGTCATTCGGTACCATTGAAAGACGCTGGATCGTCCCACCCCACACCCGTAGTTCCTATTTTCTAGCATGCGTGGATGGGGGGGGGGGGGAGGGCGAACAACACCACCCCCTGGAATTTGCAGTTTTAGTAAATGTATATATTAAGCCAAGTAAAAGTGATCTTGGACCCCCCCCCCAAAAAAAAAAAAAAGAAAACGGAGATCCCTCTTCCAAAACACGGATCTATGTGATTATGGTATTATGGTATGAAAAGTCATTAGTATGAAGCTTTGAAAGTCATTCCCTTCCACCACGAAATAGGTTTTAGTTTACTTTTTTTTTGGCTTGTCAAGAAATTTCTGGGTTGTGATTTTTTGACTGGGGTAGACCCCCCCCCCCCCCTTTTGAAAAAAAATTTCTGGATCCGCACCTGTTTCTAGTATGGACATATGTCCTTATTTCGAGTAAGTTGAATCTTTATACTGGCTCCCTATACTGTATACAAAACTATAATAGGTGCCTGTGAATATTTTTTTCTTCAGAAAATTAAGGGGCGATTTGAAAGTTAAGCCTAGGCCTAATTAAAAACTCAAAAAACGATGTAATTAAAAAGTGTTTCACTTTAAGTGACAAGAAATAAAAATAACGACAGTGCATTTCCGATAATCTAACCAAATACTAATACTCAGTACTTCCGTGTTTGCTGATTATGTACGGAATATTGATATGTGTAATCATCTTTCACGGTTGATTGTAAGTCACACTTGAAGTACTTTCAGTACTTTGATTATAGGAGGATTGGTCAGAATCGGAACTGACGTCACACATCGGGAACGCAAAACACAGCCACATTTACGAGTAAACAGGCAGAGAGTCTTGTGGTATTTTCCGCATTTTTGCTGCCTTTTACGAAACGAGATTTAATTCTTCTGTGTTTGTGGTGAGTGTTTTCTGTCTAGGATACTAAAATGAGTTCTCTGGAGCAGAAAATCGAAGTCCCCGAGATCCGTGAAGAGCTGACGGGGGAACAATCTGTTGGGGACAACGGTGTGACAGAAAGGAGCCTCACCCCAGTCCATCTGCAGGTGGAGCGACTGCGGGTGGAGGACGATGGCAATAGTTCTGCGTACACCAGCGAGGAAGAAGCAGGGAGTCATGAAGGAAGTCACGACGAAAACCGGACTGCGGACGAGCCGGAATTTGTGGCACCGGACGACGAACTCCGCGACAGAATTATCAAACAGGTGGAGTTCTACTTTTCTGATCCCAATATTTTGAAGGATGCATTTCTGCTGAAGCATGTGCGTCGAAACAAACAAGGGTTTGTGAGTATTAAACTCATAACCTCTTTTAAGAAAGTGAAATCCTTAACTAAAGATTATCGGGTTGTTGCTTATAGCCTGAGACACTCTGAAAAACTAGAAGTGAATGAAGAGGGGAGGAAAGTACGTAGAAAGGACCCTCTACCAGAATGGGATGAAACCACCCCATCACGTTCTGTAGTGGTCGTTAATTTACCCATGGAAAACCCATCTATCGAGAATGTGGCAGAAATGTTTTCCAAGTGTGGTGAAGTTTCGCTTATTAGGATTTTAAGACCAGGGAAGTCCGTGCCACAAGATGTGAAAAAACATTCCATCAAGCATCCAGAGATTGGAACGACAACCTGTGCTGTTGTAGAGTTTGAGAAGCATGAAGCAGCACAAAAAGCTTGTGAAACAATGAACGATACTGAAGATTGGCGTCAGGGCATGCGTGTTGTTTTACTTGCTGCTCAGAAGAAGAAAGAGAATAAAAAGAAGGACAATGGCGATGATTCAGGAAAAGAGGATGATGGTGAAGGGAAGGATAAGAAAAAGAAGAGGAGAGAAAGAAGAAAGAAAAACAGAGTTGATGAACTCGCTGACAATGATTCTTCTTGCTACTACAGTAGTGGTTCAGAGGCAGAGTTTGGCGTACCTCAAAAAGGCAATTACAGAACACATCAAATGCTCAAGAAAACACTGAGTCCAAATCACATGGAACATCCAGTGCTTAAAAAAACTCTGAGTCCAAATCATATGGAACATCCTGTTCTTAGAAGAACAATGAGCCCTAATAATAAGGAACATCCATCACTCAAGAAATCTTTGAGTGGAAGTCAGATGGAACACCAAAAACTGAAAAGAACCATGAGTCCAAATCAAGAGCATACTATGCTCAAAAGAACTCTCAGTCCAAATCAGTATGACTCAAATCGTCTAAGTCCAAATTCCTCCCCAAGGTCAAGTCCAAAATCTAGTCCTAAAACCAGTCCAAGGTCAAGAAGAAGAAATTTTCATGGGATTTCACCTTTGGCCGATGACAAGAAAAGTCCAAGTACTAGTCCAAAGTTGAGCCCTCAGTGTAGCCCAGACTTGGGAAGAAAGAAATATGAACATTCTGCAGATGGTAAACCGTCAAGCCCGTGGGTACAGAGAAGGATGATGCTGGCTGGTCAGGATAAAGGCCAAGTGTCAGCCAATCAGGTCAATGGAAAGAGCCCCGAAAAACACAAGATGTATGGAATGGAAGGGGTCATTCGACAGCCCAGAGGACCTGACGGCACCACTGGCTTCCACTTGGGACGAGGAAAACCAAGGAGCAGCACATTTTCTTAAACTGCTTTTAGTGCAGCAGCTTTGCTGTCACAGATATTGCTTTTTTGTTCTGTGCACTCACCATGACTCTATAAAGCTGAACTTGACTTCACTCACAAAAAACAACGGTGGAGGTCTCTGTGATAAAATCTATATGGTACATGTATAATGTTAAACAAGTCTTTTTATGCTGTTCACTCCTTTTTTTGTACCTTGCACAGAATGTCAATGACTTGGAAATTTAATCTTGTAGTAATGACAGCAAATTCATACATATAGTAAAAGGTGCCCGCATGCATACATCATTCAAAAGTCAGAAATGGTGCAAAAATTGTGTTGCTTGAATACTTGCTAAAAGCACAATTTGATAACTGTTGTGTTTACTCTTAGCAATGGGTAGTGTAATTTAAATCATCAAAATGGCTTTTGTTTAAAAATGCAAATGAGACAACTTAGCAATTTGATATTTATGATGGTTGTGTTCATTAATAATGAGACGATTATTCAACGTTTTATTGTCTCAGCTAGGTGAGAGTAAAGTTGCACTAATGTTTTTTTTTAAAGCATTGATTATGTTATAGGAAATGGTTGTCAAGTATATTGAATAATGATTTTTTCTAAAAATGTCTCAGATCCCAAGTGCTTAAATTAACAGAGGTTTTGTTTTTCACTGACCTCTGATGTAAAAAATAAATTAGATTCTGTCTTGCATTTTTACCAGAATGTTGACATTTTGGAAAACATAGATGTTATGAAAAAAATTTGCTGTAATTTTGCTACAGTATAGCATATTTTTTTTCTTCAAATGTTAAAATGAGAAGATACAGTTCTGAAGCTCATTCAATTCAAGTTCATTGGTTCATTACAAGTATAAAATCAATTATTATGAATATGTATAAAATCAATTATTATGAATATCACCATTCCTTGGTAGAGTTAATGGGGATGAAGAGGAGGGGGACTAAAAATTTTATATTTGCAACAACTAGAGTCAAGATTGTATATTGTGTAGTACACATGTAACAATAATTTTGTATGTATTTGTATTTGAGTGTGTTATGACATGACTGTATCACTTGTTAATGCTCATGAAGAAATAGTATTTATCTGCAGAGCTTCTATACATGATCTGGAGCTATCTGTTTAAAAACATTGACTTTGAACACATCAGAGAACAGTTCTACCTTCATATTTTGTCAAGCTTTTTCTTGCCAGCTAACATGGCTTGTATATTATTTTCTTATGGTGTTATCTGTATAGAAGGTAGAGAAATTCATTGCAACAATTATTGATCTCTTTAAGAAACTCATGGCCAGCATATTGATGTCAAGACAGCGAGTGGTTAGGTGTTGCATTGCATGGGGAAAATCCCATTCTACAGCAGAAATAGATATTGAAATTTAAGATTTTTTTTCTCACATGAAACATTTAAATCAAGTGTCCTTTTTACTTTTGTCCTGGTTTAAGCAAAAATCTACTGTACTGTGCAATACTTAATCTGATATATATGTGCATGTAATACGAAAATGAGATGACAGAACAGCTTAAATGATATTTTAATGCAAAAGTGTGTACTTGAGCCATTACTACTGTACAGGATAATTATGAAAGGGAAGTGCACAGTTACTTAAATAATAAACTATTATTGCTTAGAGCCTTCAGAACTGATTTCATATGCTTAAAATTTTCATTTTCTGCATTTGGTAGATTTTTGCAGATATTTTTAATTGCCCAATCATTTATATGCATGTACTGGTATTTTGCAACCCTTTTTTGATTAGGTAATACTGATTCAAAAGTTCTTCTTTAAAGTCTAAATATTACATTTACACAAAATATACACAAATCAAAGAAAATAATATACTCTGCTTAGTTATTTATACTAAAAAGTTTTGAAGTCCAAATATGGCACCTTAAGGTTCCTCCACACACATACAGCTTATGTTCTCATATTATTGCAATACTTTTAACAAGCAATCAACCTTTAAAAACTACCAGGGATAAAAATGTAATTTATATGGAATTTTTAAAATAATAATTTCACAAGTTTCAAAAATTTTTTTCCAAAAGGTTTTTTGCCCAAAAATTTTGTCTTACCCTATTGTATATTTTCATGCTCACAGAATAACCATAAAAATTTAATTTTAGCGATCAACTAGAGAAATTAATTTAATTCATATGAAATAAATAAAAGTCAAATACATATAGAGAAAAATAAAGGAAGATTTTTTTTTTAGAAGGAACAGCAATGATATAGATTACACCAAAAAATTGAATTAAAATTAAATGCACTAATGTAGAAAAAATATTTTAAAAATCATTGGTAACAAAGTTCCTTTTTGGAGTTATCCTTCCTGTTGCCCGGGACTCAAAAACTTTGGGAAGTCTCCGCAATAGTTACTAGCTACTGAACTAAGAAATACATGTTAGAAACGCACACTATTTTATTTATATTTATACAATGAGATGATGTACAAACAAATTAGTGTGCAAAAATACCAACTTTGAACACAAACTCTGTTGACGATAATCATGTCAAATAATATACTACCGGCTTTCAATTAATGGAATTATTATGTAAGGAAAACTCAGTCATATGTCTGTTTCTTATAGAAAAAAAAAGTACCATGCCATGTGTTTAAGTCCGAAGAAATATGTATTTTTTCTCTATATACGTCACAAGTCACATGGTGTGGAGTACCCTTAAAGTATTTTTAATTTTTTCTGCAGGGAGTTTTTTTTTAAAGATTGTTAAAGATGTTGACTTTTCATTACTTTGATTGTGAAAAAAAACTGCTTTTGTATTGAATATGTTTTTGGAGTGAAAGTACTTTGTATTAATTTTGCCATTGCTATACTTTTTTTGGAAAGAAATTGATTGTTGATGAGTTTTTTCATACACTCTATTCATTATTGTTGGAATGGTTTAGATGGTCATTTTTTTATATTTTTTAATTAAACATGATTTAACAAGATATTAAAGACAGATAATTTCATGTGAAAGAAAAGATGATATTTTATATCACATTAAATACTTTTTACCTTAATAACCTATATGCATTTACATATTTCTTTTTCCAACTCCACTTAATTTTTTTTTTTAAAATTCATAATTGAAAAATTTAATATTATTTTTGATAAAAATCTCTTTCATCATTTCAAAAAGGAAACTTATTTTGAGAGCACAGTTGGTGTATGTTATTATATGATATGTGTTAAGATTATGATGTGAATGTATGCAAACATATCTTTATTTATTGTTTTTTGGAAACATTCCAGTTTATTATTTGTTTGATTGGTGTGTATATTAGTGTATGGTGTTGATATTGTTATGTAATTTGTTAAAAGATTCATGCATTATGTAGTTTAAAAAGACAGAGAAATGGTATAATACCTGAATTTATCTACAGCAGGCATTCTTAATAATTGACTTGCTTGTTTGTTTGTCTGTTTGTCTCTTCCTCATATTTTGTCTTCTGCTAATTTTAAGGTTCAACATACTTCGATCACTTTTATGAATTTTTGCTTGATGCTTATGATTTTCCCAAACTTTTGTACTTGTTAATTATATTACAAACAGTTTCAATGTAGCTTCAGCTTTGGGGGTAAATTTACAAAATACATATGTAGATCTTTAACTGGTTATTTTAAAGGGGAAAGATAATCATTTAACCCAGTTAGAGTTATCTCTCTTTTCAGAGCATCAGTGAACCTTAAACAATCTATGATTAACTGGATTTTACTGTAATAAGATAGGGATGGAGGGCAAACTGAAACCACTTAGTTGTTATATCCTTTGTTTTTTGTAGTATCTTTTATTTTCTTATCACACAAAATTTAATGAAATATCTTTTGTATTTTGATATTATTATTATTTTTTTTTATTTTTTAAATAATACTAGAAGTTGATGATGAGAAAACCAAATATAAGTATTTATCTTCACTCATTGCAAAAGTTGATTCTGCTGATGGGATATTCCAACTACATAAAGTAAGATTTATGTACATTTGGATTTGAATGTTTTCTTTGTTGTGCATTTACATGCAATATTCCCACCTATCGATATATATATATAGAATTTCATTTGTACAAGGGCAGTAAATGTCTACTAAGGTGCTGTTGAGGCTCTTGTTTTAACTCGATTGTGTTCCAATACAATATTTCAGATGTATTTATCTGACCTCTTAATATCATGTCAACTTGTCTTTTAAAAATAAATTGCAATGTTAAAAAGTTTAAATGTTTTTTTTTTTTAATCTGATATTTTGTTGTGGTTCATTTCTTCTTTTGAAATAAATTGCAATGATATCTCATAAAGAAAATTTTGTATTTTATTTCCGTTTGTTTCTTTTAATTAGTATCAGGATAATTAAATTTATTAAATATAAAATAAAAAAAATTACTTTGGGTTTACTTAAATTTTGTCTTTAACTATAATATAGACGTGAATGCACATTACTTGAACTACGGTCTCCTCATAGACTTCTTTTGTTAATGTTAATTAAGCTACTGTCTCTTCAGAGACTTTCTTATGATATTATTATCACTGTGTACCTATTTCCTACAAAAAAAAAAATTACCATAGTCTCTGACGTATAAGCACTGATGAAATTCAGTTTGTGTTTATAAGACTTCATAACCCGTCTCTGACCGTTTCAGTCCAGTCAAGGTCCACGTCTTATTAATTATGCTAATGAAGTTGCCCTTGTTTACCTATAGTTTCTGAAGGTTATCTTGTTTACCTGGGCGATCTATATTACGTAGAAAAGTATGTACTTGCTATCGAACTTTTGATAATCATTGATTTATCTTATGACACAATGCATATCGATCGAGGTCTATCGCGGAAAGTCGTGATCCTCTTAACAGATGTAATCAGATGGGTTTTAAAAATATATTTCTCAACATGTTGAACAGTGACGAGAGGAAAGTGCACGTGTCCGTAAGAGGCTTATTTGGGGTTTTTCTTCATAAAAAGGGGGGGGGGCGTATGTAAGATAAACCACGATGCCCCTGTTGTGACCTTTATTTAGTCGAGGAATCCTGTTTTGCACAAGGAGTCTGCAAAACGCGGAAGATTCTGAATGAGATTATGACCAAAATGGTATTCTAAGAAAAAATTGACGAGAAAACTTTGATTTTATTTTCCAAGGCCATTCACCAAATTCAGTACAGGAAGAATGCAATGAATAATTCATCATGTTGCTTTTAAAGACAACATTATGACAATGACCTTGTGTATGTAATAGATGTTCTTTTTTTGCTTATTGTCAAAAACGCCTATTTTGTTTTACACACCTGGGGCCAATAAACGGAGTGAGATGACTCCATTGACTTAATTTATTTTCTTGTGGTTGGAGCAATTCATCGACTTTATGATGTCTTTGTGGTTCTGTAGTACATGTTTATTTTTTGGTTTTGTTTCAAATAATTGTAAACAAATTTGACGAAAATCCGTCCGTTGTCGTTCGTAGGGCAGGCGTGTAAATTGTTAATTCAATTCCATCTACAAGAACTTGTCTTTTTCTCTGTCATATAAACAAGTTCGGGCGGAAACAAGGTTACTTTTGTATACGTAATTCGGTAAGAACCATTTCCTAATATGATCTGACAGTTATTAAACAACAACAAAAAATTATTAAGCCCCGCCGTTCTTCCACAATCGTACGATCTCTTTATTTTTCTCTTTCTCTCAATGGCGACTCTCATCTTGGCCTTGAATG